TTTAATTCAAAATAGCAACTTACTGGACAGCTTTATGCATAGGTTGGTTCACTGCTTCCGTGCCATAGATGAAAGCCGGTCTAAGATAAAAAAACAAGTACGCAAGCAACGGTCCTGTATACTCACACAAGAACACCTGAATAAGTATAACAAATGCACACAAATACTATTTATTTTATTATTACAGTATATATTTCAATATATTATTAAGGCACATTGTCAGTGGCAAAAATTTACAACTGTTTTGAAAACTCAATGACAATCTATTCCACAAACCAAACACCTACACATTAAGGAGCTTTCGATTTGTGCGACACGACGCTAGAACAGAATCACTCATGCGTGACCGTCCTACCTGGCGTCCTACTTTCTCTGCATACGTAGATTTCATAACTCACAAGTGCTCAAATAAATTTGGGTTTCCAGGGGCAAATCCAGAGATGCCTGAAATGGGGGGGGGGGGCCCCGAAAGTAGGGTCGATCGTGATAACACCACCCCAGGGGGGCGAAATTCTTTTTTTCTAGACTTTTGAAAATAACCTCTGAGCCGTTTTGGATGATCAATTTTTTGTTTTTCTGTAAATCTTTCTTTTTTTTTTACTTTACAAAAGGGGCGAGGACCGGGGCCAGCCTGGCACCCAGTAAATCTGCCCCAGGTATCTAACATTTATAGTAGTAATTTACTACAGGCTACCAGTCTAGTTTGTGACTATTAATGTGGATGATGATCGCATATTTGTTTCATGAAGTCCTTGAAGTGTTGCTATTTTATATTTATTTATTTATTTGTTATTTATACTGGGTTTCCTCTTCAGTAACAAATTACTGTTCTCCCAGAGAGCCCAGTACACATAAAACAGTCCACGACACACAAGACAAACATACACACATGATGCAGACCACAGTGATGTACATCTTGTTTGTGTTCACTGAATTTGTTCAAAATGAACTCCCTGTTTTCCCAAATCGTCACTAGTATCATAGAATAACACAACGAAAGATGAAATTTGTGTTAATTTGTGAAAACAAAAAAACATGTTATAATACATGCTGCTGTCATTACAGACTGTTTTTGTGGTATAGATTACAAAATTAAAGATGGTGTTTGTGAAATGATCATCAAAACTGTCAGCGAGGGCAGTTACAGTTACTTGGTTTGATAAAATAGAAATTTCTCATATAGAATACAAAATTGCTTGAAAACCAATACTAGTTCATTTTCACAAAATAACACAATCCACTTTGATTGTGTTAGTCTGTGATGTGAGCAACGAAATATAGGACAACTTAGGAATGTGAATTGAAATTAAATTGCTAAACTGGGAAAGCTGACATGTAATGAAAAAATGTATTAAAATGAAGATAATTCTTGTATTAAACTAACCAGCTTCCACCTAATTTGTGGACCAAGGTCTTTTAGGTACAGCTCACCACCGTCAGAAAGGCCAAGGTTTGCCAACGTATCATCATCCTTCAGAGTTTTCCCTTCTGTTTAAATAAAGTACAAATTCTTTTTGGCAAAATCTAGTAAGAAACGGAGTACTTACTCAGGAAGTTTCGATCTCTAACAGACTGATAAATGGGATTGCAGCTTGGTCAAGACATCCTCTGTTGATGACGTTGTACGCTCCTTCCGGATGAAGGTTGGAGTTTGTGCGGAGCCCGGCCACATGATAATGTATTTATATCATTGTACATTAAAGTTCACGTGCACTTTGATCAGGGAGTTATTACACACAAGAAGAAACCAAGATAAAACTATGAACAGTGATCAAGGGGTGCATGAACTTTCCAACCTGTACAATGATTTAATTACATCATCACGTGGCCAGGCCCCGCACAACCTGCAACGGGAAGTAGCGTACGACCTCATCAACAGATGATATCATGACCAACTGCAATATTCCATCTAGCAATTCCATCTAGCAGTCAGTTGATAAAGATTTGTTAGAGGTCGAAATGTCCTGAGTAAGTACACCGTTTCTTAAGTTAGCTTTTACAAAAATGATTTCGTTATCATCTATACAATAACAAAGCTAAATTATATTTCTTGAAGAAAGTACAAAATATTAAGAATAAAACAAATTTTATGACCTCAACTACTAAAGATTTACAGTAGAGCTCCTTTCCTTTTAGTTACACAATTGGCTGGTATAGTTTACAAAAGTGAGTGTGTACCATAGGTGGATTTAAAGGTGGAGACTCCTCCCCCACTTAATTTTTGAAAACTTTTTATTCCAAAAAATATAAGAAAATTACATTTGCATTTGAGACTGAGAATGTAATTGCCAGCCAACTAGAGATGCTATAGACATAAAAATTTCCTACATCAGCCCCAACCATATTGGGGTTGCATTAGTCTGGACCCTCTGTAAAATTCCCTCTGTTGGCCACACTCTATTTCAAATTGCTAAATCCACCAGTAACCTGTTCCATTCATTTATTTATTTATGTGACCATTTGATCAACAACTACAGCACAACAAAGTCTGGCAAAGGGCTGAGGAAAAACCACATTATTATTCTGGTACTTTTTAATAATATTTTATTTATTCTAAAATTAGCTTAATTTACAAATTGACTTACTGAGTGAAGATTTGATTGCCTGACGATCAGGATAAAATTTCCTCTCTGAAATTAAAAAAAAAAATATATGTTTTTTATTTTTTTTTTTTACATTTCTTAATACAATCTGTGTAATGCATTCAGGAGCATACTGATGCTTACTATATTTAGTTATAACTATTTTTAATGGGTTATTTTTATTGAATGCTGTAAATATCCTGTATAGGAGTTAGTAGCGTATTTATTGTAATAATTGAATGTCATGCATTTATTCTTCTTGAAGATCTCATTTGAGTATTTCTTATTTTGCCTATTCATTTATTATAGCGCCCTTCTTTGCAGATACAAAGCACCTCTGTCTCAGGTCATTGGGTCCAAATGTTTAAGTGATGCTCCTGTAATCAGAGCTGGAGCAGACAACCTCACCAGGTACCCATTATTTATAGTCATTGGGTGGAGAGAAGCATTGCAGATAAAGTGCATTGGTCATGGACCCAAGGGAAATGCACAGCAAGGGAATTTGAAACCCCAATCTAAAGGTTTGGAAACCAAACCACTTCCTCTGAAGTAATAAGTTTGTATAGTTATATGATTTTTTATTTCTTTTTTTTTTCAACTGCATCAAAAGATAATTTCAGATGTACTAGGTGTATTTTTATTATCAGTTATTACACATTGGATATCATCTATTTGTTACTGTGACTAATCTATTTTTGTTAATTAACTGATTTAATTATTTCAATTTAATAACTAAGAAGGTGGCTGGCATTTTTCACCAATCACATATAGTAAATTATGAGTTACACTTACTTTCTTTGTAAATTTTAGCTTTGACATCAGCTATCGTGGAAGTCTTGGAAAGCTGCAAAAGGCATAGGGTTAGGAATTATAATTTACAATAAAGATATAAATTTATGTAACAGGCTCACGCATTCGGCATGAGACTCATGTATTCGAGGTCTGTCTCAATTCACACTCTCATTCGCAAGGACCAAAATCTCGCGCATAAATATAATATTGCCATAAAGGGGGATTTCCCAGACACCCCCCTTAATGGGAGGGGTTCTTAGAACACAAATCTCACGCCCGTTATTTGTCTGTCTAACTTGGAATGTATGACATAAGCAAATGTACATACATTTTAAACCTTCTGCACATTATCAAACTGCACAAGAAATGCGCATAACAAAAATCAGTGGTACCAACCCTCCCAATTCGATCAGGAGTCTCCCAAGTTTACATGCTTTCTCCAGGTCACTGGAATTTGTTCAAGTTCTCCCGAATTTCAAAAACTAGGCCTAGGCCACAGGCCTAGATTTTTTTAACTTACAGTACAACCACCTCATTTAACGTACAGCCCGTAATCAAACATTGGTTCGCTCGGTAAAATAGATGAAATTACTATAAATTACATTTTATATACATCAAAATTACAATTATTATACACTTCGAAAGATGTTAAATGCTATCAGAATATTTCTATGTTGAAGGCGCATTTTAAGGAATTGTGAAAATGGGGGCGCCCTTCATCTGCAAATTCTCCTGTCTCCAGTTTTTTAGGTCTAGGGGTTGGAAAGTCTGCAATGCAAAAAAACTCAATGGTGCAATCATATTACCTCTGATAGCTTTGTAACTGGCTTGCCAGTACCTGCTTGTAGTACTTGAATCTAAATGAAACAAAAATAATTAATTGAATATTATTACAATCCAATAAATAAAACAACTCTCTGAAGATTTAAACAAATTCCTATGCATAATTCAGATTGGATCATATATATACGAATTGGATGCATACAAACAATAACATTAAGAATTCGGAATTCAATTATGACCGACAAGAGCCACCGACTGCTCTGTGCATATTAAAAATCCATTTCATATTTAATTATTAATATTAACATTCAATATCATCAATTATTAAATCATCAAATCCTGTCACTCTAGATTTTTACAAGCCCTGACTGTTAAATGTTGAATCAATTTAACCTAGGCCTAGGCCATAGGCCCTAGCTATACAAATGAGATATAACAAGGCGCTAAGCACTTTCGCAGCTAATTTTTAATTCTTAATTTTTTTTACCAATGTTCTTCTCACAGTCATAACATATTAACATGTTCACATGATTCAACCACTCGCAAAGTACCTTTTTCAACAAATAAGCCCGCAAATAAATACAGCGAATCGATGATGACGAGCATCTGCCATTTTGCAATCAGTAAGATAATTGCCAGAATGTGAGTTTACAGCGTGAAGTTTTTTGTTTTGATTAAACGTTTTTTGGAAACTTATTTATTTGCGTTCGTATGTCATTTCAGTTATGCGTTATATTATGGTGTTCTTGTTTGATTATGATATGCATTCACATGAAATCAAATGTACAATCATTCATTTTTTTAAATTAGTAAAGATCCAAATGCATACACAGTTATACAAATAGGGCCAAATCTAGCCTACTAAACTACCAAAGCCAATGCTAAACAGGGGTGGCGCCAGGATTTGCCCGAAGGGGTCCAAGGTCCCCGACAATATCATTCTATTCCTAGTCTACGTCATTCCGCAAAAAAAAAAGATTAGGCCTAAGCCCAGTATTAGGCTAGTCTGGCTGGGTGGCCTGGGGGCTCCTCCACCCCATACAGGCTCATTCTCTTCCTTTCTTTTACCGCCAAGCCTACTAGCCTAGCTAGTTTAATGCATGATTGCAATGTAGTGTTCAATATCAAAATATTTAATATTTTGCTGATTTCATCAGACAAATATAGATTAATAAGGTAATTGATACTGAAAGTGGTTTTATTATAATATACGCCTAGGCCTACAACTTACCTCCATGTTGGCGCTTGCAAGGTGGATTTGGCTGGCCTGGGTAAAGCAGAGATTTTTGTTTTAGCAGGATTCTCTCTTGCCTAGGCCTACGCCCCCACGTGTTGCCTGTTTCTCAAGAATGGTTCCCGTTGACACACACAAACAGGGCATTTAGTCCGATGGGGGAACTGATACACATGCCGGGGTGGATTTATGAATAGATCTTTCGGTATGATGTCCGAATTGGGTTTTTATAGAGATCCCTTAAAAAACCAAAGGTGTTTATACTTCATAGTATTAATTTACTGTTAAAACTCTTTGATCGGGCCTGTAATACCAAGTTTCAGTGGCGTATAGACCTATAGGTCTATACTTGGTGTGTGGGGACCCGGACCCCAGGCCTGTTTAGAGCCCACAAATTAGGGCCGTCGGAACCGCACAGGCCTCACCGGCTTTGGCCGGACAACTTTTTCTCAATTCTATCACAGGTCCCCCTTTCCTTTTTGGGGACCAGGGTTTTTGGTCTTTAGCAGCTTTGGTCTCTACTTGAATCCTATAAAGACCGGCATTAAAATAGTCTTTAAATATCTGTATTTAGAGAGGAATTAAGAAAGATATAGTAAATGTAGGATTAATGGATGTAGGGCCTACAGTTACTGTAAGCTGTTGTTTTATTATTATTATTATTATTATTATTATTATTATTATTATTATTATTATTATTATTATTATTATTATTATTATTATTATTATTATTATTATTATATATATATAAAGGTAGTATATATATATATACTTATGTATATACATATATATATATAGTAGATATTCAAATAAATATAGAGTTGCTGCATAGACAGATTTGCATATATAAAATAAGAAGTCAAACAAAGTTATGTATCTGTCTCATAATAGAATATTTATTGTACTTTTGTATATATAAAATAAGAAGTCAAACAAAGTTATGTATCTGTCTCATAATAGAATATTTATTGCACTAGTACTTTCGACCATAGGTCATCATCAGGTATTGATACGATATTGGGATGAACAGGGTTATATAGAGAACATATATAAAAGAAGCAGTGGTATCGGTAAAGCCTAAACGGCGGTACTGACGACACAACGAAACAATTAACATATACCGCTGTACATATATATTCATATAGGCCTACATACACACACTCACACACACTATATACACTGTATATATATATATATATATATATATATATATATATATATATATATATACATATATATATTGAAGGAAGTTGGCCGTTAACACTGTTGAATGAATATAATATAAATAATCAAAGGTACATATATACTGTATTATTTACCTTTGATGATTTATATTATATATATATGTATATATGTATTGTATATATATATATACATGTATGTATATATATATATATATATATATATATGTACATACATACACATACGTACACGCATGCAAACACACACACATACACACGTACAATATTGTACATACAAACTGTAAACATACAGTGTTAATAATACTAATTACGATAGTCGTTTAACAATTTGAAAATTACAATAAAATTGTTGAAGTTCAGTTTACATTGATTATGGTTGGTACTGTAGTCATAGATTTATATATACTTTGTCTAACTTTCCAAGCCTCCATGAGATAGGTTTTACAGTAGCCTAATTGTCAAACATTTCTCCTACTTTATGAGACTCAGTTTGATCAAAAAAAATGTCTACAAATAGGTGGCGTTTATAGTCAGCAGATGCATTTGTAAATGATTCCCAAAAATGGCCAAAACCCCAATCAAAGAGGTCATCTTTTAAATTCTTAAAAACATTTTCTCTAATGGGACGAAATCTTTCACAGTCAAATAAAAAGTGATCTGTTGTTACCAGAGCATATAATTTACAGAAACCATCATTATCTATCCACCAAGATTCTTTAATGCCCTCTAGGTCCAGAGAATTAGTGCGGACTCTAAATTTAAGACACCGCTTTAAAGTTAGATAAGGTTCGATCGAAGGGTGACCTTTGTATCATGGTATACTCTGTAAGTGACCTCTTTGATTTAGCAATTTCAAACCATCTTTTCATATCAACTTCCATATTTGTCTTTTTAAATTTATTCAACCAGTTATTTTGAGGTTCCATGATGTACATTGATGAAAGGTTACATTTTGTGTAATAGGCCTTTTATTTTGGTAAGCCATTGCAATTTAAGTTTATTTTCAACATGAACAATTGATTTAAACAGTAACCGTGGCCATTTTATGTCCACTCATATTTTTAAGTCTGTTTAAATGAATTTTCTTATGACATCTAAATTTTGCTGTGCATGGTGTTAACCATTAATGATTGGTACTAACTGCTGCGCAGACAATTGATATTACAGTATAAAAACTCGTTAAGCAAATATCATCATGAATTTGCGGGAAATGGTTTATTTCTGGAGATTCGTGCTCGTGTGCGTGGGCCAGAATGCGGGAGTTCTTCCTGACAGTTTCCAGGAGACTCCACTCCGAGACTCTACGGGAGACTTGGAACTCATGGGTACTATATGTGGTTTTTTTTATTTCTCTATTTAGATGGAAATTTAAAAATAATACATTAAATGTTTTAAAATGGTTGTACAGTAACTGCATGCTCTTATTTATTCTTAATTAAACATTTCTTGGTAGCCAAATATCAACTTGTCTTTCCATTAAAATAACAAATAACTATCATAACATTTTGGCAAAGGTATAATGGCCAAGCCGGCCTTGATTAAGCCTACTTCCAATTAAAAAACTTTAGCCCTTAAATTAAGAGTGAAGCCAATAATTTTTCTAAACGTATGCACGTGCTATTTTCCAGCTGAGGAATTATTTTTTTCAAACATGGTGAAAAAAAAATGTGTTGCACTCCACCACCCACCCACGCCCACTCTTATTAAAATGGCCGGACCACTTGCAAAATGCTTCCGACGGCTATGCAAATATAAAAATCCGCCACATCAAATCATTGATAGGCCTATCCGCAAATGTCAAAATAACCATAGATGTCATAACATGTCAACCACAAATGTAAATATAACCACAAATGTAAAAACAAAAACAAGTGTAAAAATCTGTTTAACCAAATAAAATTTCGCCTACAAAAATGTCAGGCTAAACATTTTCATTGTTAGCCTACCTCAAGTGTCGTAACATGTCAACGGCAAATGTACCCGTTGTAAGATAAGTTATAAGTTGTGTGCTTGTGTACGTGCGTGTGCATGCGAGTTTTTTAAGTTTTAAATTCCTTATGATTTAAACAGTGGCGGATTCAGGGGGTTTAAGGGGTTCGGACGAGCCCCCTCCATCTCTGTGAAAAAACATAACAAAATACTACTGGGTCCTGGCTTACAAAAGGCATGCTCAACTACCTAGGCATAGGTTGGCATATCGGACAGAATAGGCTTAGCCCAACTAGCATTCAATAAAATACAATTAAAACACTGTTTTGGCCCAACGTCGTAATAATTTATGTACGAAGTGTGTTCTTCAGGCCTATCAGTTCATCGATCTATGGAAGAAAGACTACGTATCAATTTAGATGGTCGGGAATGTGCACTTTAAGACTTAGGCCTAATTGGAATATCATTTTCTTCTCAATTTTATTTTTTAATTTTGAAAAAAAAAATGCATTCCAGGTTCTCCTACCCTGCCACTAGAAATATTTCTACCACAAAATATCCAATCACCAGTTGTTGGGGTTGAGGTGAGCAAATATTTTTAGACACCTCTAGATTCCTGCAAATGACACTTACAGACTCAGAAATAAGTTTTCAAAGCAGTTTTTACAACAAAATAACATACCCCGAGCCTGGCTTTTACAGCAAATGGTTAGACATCGCATTATCAGCGCCCCACTTAATCCATTATCCCCATTAGTCTACCCCTCCCCATGTCAATACCATACGCCACTAGATACAGTGAGCTGCACTCAGAAAAAAGCCACACTTTTTTAAACAATTCTAGAGTAGGCGTGTCTAGGTGGTGTTTCTATAAACAGAAATTTTTTTTCTAAAAATCATCGACCAGAAAGTGATTTATATTTAGCAAATCTTGCGCGGGCCGGCTCAAAATCTATGGCGGGCTGGAGTTGGCCCGCAGGCCGGGGGTCGAATACCGGAAATATAGGCCTAATTGACTATATCTTTGATTTATTTTATATGGTATAGGCCTCGGAATGAGATACAATCACCTGACTTTTTTTAAGAGGGGTAAAACCTTGAATTTTGAAGAAAAAAAGGTCATTAAAAGATATCTCAGAAGTCGGGAAATCTCATTCATTACTTATCATTTCATATCATCTCATATGATTTCATACCATTTCATATCATTTCATATCATTCATACGTCCATTTCATTATGGAGTGGAGTTAACTTAGTTGTTAAGACGCTTAAGATGCCTTCTAATACCGAGGTAATAGGTTTAATTCATGTCACAGGACATTTTCTCTCGACTTAAACAACTTTACTCCCTAAACCTCATAAACAGGCTTGGTTTATAAAGTATAGTTCTATCTTGTAAGTGGCGAGTGTACGCCTACTTGCTGTGATTTTTTTTTAAGTAATGAATTTTTACATTTACTTTTGACATGTTCAATTTAAGGTAAAAATAAAAACGTTTACATTTGTTGGCTAGGCGAATTGTTTGTACATTTGAGGAGATTTTCACCTGTGGGCAGTTCTTTTTACATTTGTGGTTATTTTGACATTTGTGAATGTTTTTACATTGTGGTTATTTTTACACTTGTGGTGGATTTTTACATTTGTGGGCTCTTCAATCCCCACCCCACCCCACCCACTAAATTGGTTTGAATATATTAAGTATTTTAATCGCTAATACAGTACTCCTTTCAGTGTACACTCAAGTGAATCGTTCTTGACTTTTGAGCTACATTAGGTGTCTAATGACTTTGTTCTTCAAAATTTAAGGTTTTTCCCTCTTGAAAACGGTAAGGTAAACTTTCTCATTACAGTAAATAGGCCTGTTATGTGTGTATACATACATTTAAAAAAAATGAGTAGTTGCATACGTATTCTTTTTTCAATGAATCGATAAGCTCCAAAGAAAAGGGGGGGGGGTTTCTAGATGGCGGAAAATGAGCTTTTTCCCGACTCCTGAGGTGTCTTAATTACTTTAAAGTTCTTTAAAATTCAAGGTTTTCCCCTCTTGAAAACGGTCAGGTAATTTTTTTTTTCTATTGTTATTACAGTAAATAGGCCTTATGTATGTATACATACATAACATTTTTTTTAAATGAGTAGTTTCATACTTATTTTCCATGAATCGATGAATCCTAAAAAGAGAGGGGGTCCGGAGGTTCTCCCTCTGGAAAATTTTGATTCCTAGAAGGCGCAAAATGAGATTTCCCGACTTCTGAGGTGTCTTTTAATCACTTTTAAGTTCTTCAAAATTCAAGGTTTTCCCCTCTTGAAAATTATTATAATGAATCAATGAACCCAAATAGAAAAGAGAGGTTCAGGTTCTTCCCGGGAAAATGTTGATTTCTAAATGGTGGGAAATGAGCTTTCCCGACTTCTGAAGTATCTTTTAGCGACTTTAATTTAGGTTCTTTATAATTCAAGGTTTTCCCCTCTTGAAAACGGTCAGGTAAATTGTTCCCATTGTTATTACAGTAGATAGGCCTTATGAGTGTACATACAACAAAAATTGAGTAGTTGCATACGATTTCCATAAATCTATAAATCCCAAAAAGAAAGGGTGTGTGGGGGTTCCCAAATTCTGCGGTGTCTTTTAATTACTTTTAAGTTTTCTAAATCAAAGGTTTTCCACTCTTGAAAACGGTCTAATATTTGTTCCCATTGTTGTTACAGTAAATAGGCCTTATGTGTGTATACAAACATAAAAAAAAGATTGAGTAAGTTGCATACGTATTTTTTCCATGAATCGATAAATCCCAAAAAGAAATGGGGGGGGGGGGGCCTGTGGT